ATGCTGTATCTAAGGCCTGGCACAGCCAAATGAGTAAATGATTTTTTTTAAGTGTTTTCTATTCCCTACACCTTCACTCTGGGCTGGCCTTGTGACTTGAAGAGAAAGTGTCAGTCACTCAGTCATGTCCAACCCTTTGCAGCCCCCTGGACTGCAGTCCGCCAGGCTCCTCTGTCCATGGGATTTTCCAGGCAAGCATACTGGAGTGGGTAGCCATTCCCTTCTCCAGGGGATCTTCCTGACCCAGGGATCAAACCCTGGTCTCCTGCATTGCAGGCAGACTCTTTACACCTTCACTCTGAGCTGTACTTGTGACTTACTTTTGTCAATAGACAAAGATGAAACAGCAGTGTGCCAAGCGTAAGCTTAGACCTCAAGAGGTCAGGCAAGTTTCTACTCTCCCCTGGATTCCAGGACTACCATGTGAACATGTTAGGCTAGCCTGTTGGAAGATGTGGTACTACCCGGAGCAGAGCCAAGTTCCCCTGGCTAAGGCCACCCTCAAGCAGCCAGCTCTCAGCCACTCCAACAGCAGACAAAAATCACATGAGCAAACCCAGCTGGGGTGAATCAAGCCCAACTCGGACCTAAAGAACTGCTGGGCCAGCCCATAGACACGTGAGAAAATGAGAAATGGTTGCTGTCTTAAGCCACTAAGTTGTGGGGAGGTTTGTCCTATAGTCCCCTTGGTAAGGTCAGCCCTAATGTATGTGATCAGCCTGCAGGGGAGGCATCTCAGCTGCTCTGCTCTGAATATGTGTTCATTAGGAAAGCTTCTCCTTGTGATGTGGTTGTCACCAAGGGGATCTGCAAGAAGAAGACACCCCACCACGCCACACAGAGTCCCAGCCATTATAAACTCACAGACTGGGGTGAGCAAGGTCACTGGGATGTAGCCCAGAGGGACAGATTGGTTTTCTGAGGCAGCAAGACCTCAGATGGAAAAAATTCCACAGAGGTGAAAGTCACCTTCTAAAGGGGTGACTTGGGGGACACCCGGCCAGCCACCCAACCAGGACCCAACCTTGTCACATCCTGTTTCACAGAAACTTTGACCAGGTTCTCAGGCATCCAACCCCATTTCTATCCACGAAACACATTGCAACAGTCCCACAGCACTAGGGTCAGTCATCGGGGGAAGCTCTCAAATCCCCAAAACAATGCTCTTTATTTTTTTTAATTGGGTCCAGTTGATTTCAAGTGTATATCAAAGTGATTCTATCAGACACATATAATACATATATATTCTTTTTCAGATTCTTTTCCATTATAGGTTATTACAAGATATTGAATGCAGTTCCCTGTGCTATGCAGTATGTCTTTGTTGTTTATCTATTTTATGTGTAATAGTGTGTGTATGTGCTCAGTCGTGTCCACCTCTTTGCAGCCCCATGGACTGCAGCCCGCCAGGCTCCTTTGCCCATGGGATTCTCCAGGCAAGCATACTGGAGTGGGAATGCTGTGCCCTCCTCCAAGGGATCTTCCCAACTCAGGGATAAAACCTGCGTCTCCTGCATCTCCTGCCTTGCAGACGGATTCTTTACCATTAGCGCCACCTGGGAAACCCAATGTGTGTATTTTAATCCCAAACTCCTAATTTATCTGTCCCCCCTCCCCTCACACTCTCCCCTTTGGTAACAATAAGTCTGTCAAAACCATGCTCTTTAGAGCAACAGTCCCCAATCTTTTCGGCACCAGGAACCAGTTTCGTGGAAGACAATTTTTCCATGGACCAGGCAGGGGAGATGGTTTCAGGATGATTCAAGCGCATTACATTCATTGTTCACTTTATTCCTATTGCTATTACATCAGCTCCATCTCAGATCATCAGGCATTAGATCCCAGAGGTAGAGGACCCCCGCTTTAGAGGACCGAAGTCCCAGAGGGGCAGAGCCGCAAATTGTGGTCATTGCATTCAGCCTACAAGATGGAAGTCTCAAATAAGTGCACCATATAATATCATGTACATGCATCCCATGGTACACCAACAGTCAGTGTATTTCCAGTTGATTCTAACATCTTTCCATAGCCATAGAAACTACTTTCATCCTCAAAGAATACAGACTAAAAACTAGCAAGGACAATACCTGCAGGACTATTCACTAAAGGTGGCCCTTTCTTTCATTGCAAGGGAAAGGTTCAAAAGAAGCCCTAAAACAGTCCTTGATCTGGATGAAAGATTGCTGAACACTGTTTTGCACTGAGCTTCTCATCACCTTGGAAAGATTTATGCCTCTGCTGGCTGCATTTGCTCAGGCTGAGTGACCTAGGAACCTATGTCTCCCAACCAGCCTTCTTCTAAACATCGAGTGTAGGATGTCAGCCAATTCCTTCCACAAGAGCTCAGGATATTAATCTTAGCAACAAATAGAAATCATGAGAGGCAATACCCCAGTGACCCTGCTGGCTTACCCTCTGACCTCAAATCCTACTGCTGCTCCCCTCGCTCACTCACCCACAGCCCCAGTGGACTTCTTTCTGGATTTTCTTATGAACACACCTCCCTCCTGCTTCAGGGTTTTGCAGGTGCTGCTACACTACTTAGAATGCTCTTCCTCAGACATCTGCCTGGCCCGCTCCTCACTTCCCCAGGGGTCCAGTCAAATGTCACTCATCAGCAAAACCTTCCCTGACCAAGCTATATTAAACAACAACAATCCTCACCCCACCCTCTGGCAAGACTCCCCATTCCTCTTACTCTGCTTTATTTCTCTCCACTATAATGCATCATTATCTCGCTATTTATGTGTCCATTATCTTACACACACACACACACACACACACACTCACAAGGTAAGCTCCTTGAGGGAGTTTATTTAATTCAATTCTGTGTCCCCACACATAGAGCAATTCCTGACACATAGTAGGTACTCAATGAATGAACTGCCATTTCTTAAGCACCTACTTTGTGTCAAGCAATTTATATATGATGATCATTTCCCAATAAACACATATTTTTAAGCACTTATGATGTAATTATATTATAAGAACTCCATTGTTACCTCCATTTTACAGCTCAGGAACCCAAAGCTCAAAGCGAGGCTAAGAAACCTGCACAAGACACTTACCTAGGTCTGTTTGAGTATCAAAACCCACACTCCTTGAAGTGTGCCAATCTGCTTTTCAGATACCTTAGTGATGGTTTAGGTTACAAGATGCATGTAAGTCGCATCTCTGGCAACATGTATAATGCAAGAGCTCTTCATTCTACCATTTTTCTATCACCCACCATAGATTTTGTCCAGGGGAAAAAAAAAATCCGTCAGATTGGATTTTTATTTCCCAGAGCACACTGGTTGGAATAGCTTTAGATTTCCTTTATTCCATCCATTTAGAGACATCCAAGTTCAGAGCTTTCCTTTCGAACTGAGCTAGGACAAGCACAGACAGGTCAGGGACCCAAAGGGGATGAAGGCAGAAGTTCATCTGCTCTGAGAATCCCTCAGAACTATCCAGAACCCTTGCCTTTGTGAACTACTGGTCCTAGAACTTAGGAAAACGATCCATTAAAGAAACAAAAAGCCTGACCTCCTGCATAGGACACTCTTTTCTCTTGGTTGTCATCCTACGTCTGTGTCTACTGGTATCTGGTCACATACTGCAAACGCCAACCCTGCTGTAACATACAGAGCTCTGCACACACGGCAGCCTTGATGCTGATGATGGGGAGACTGATGGGGATTATTCACAGACCGAGGGACCCAGAGAGGGACCCTGTTTCTACTGAAACTCATGTAATGCCTCACCTAGGAGCGGTTCATTTTTAAAAAAGACCACTGCCACATTAATTCCTCTCTTCCTGCTCCCGCCAGTCTTTCAGCATCTACATTGCTGAACTTATCACACCTCATCATTACAGGTGTTTCTTCTCCACCAGATGTGAGCTTCTGGGGAAATGGACTTTGTTTTCATCCTCTCTGCGCCCCTCCAGGGTTAATCCAGCCTCTGTCACATCCTAGGTGCTCGACCAGTATTTGCTGACTCAAGAAAGATGCAGAGTGAGCCTGTACCGTGTTTGCTGCACCCACTGGAGCGAGCAGGGTAAGTGACCTCTTCTGGAAAGGGCAAGAAGCAGAAACAGAAGAGACCAGGGTAGACCAGAAGGACCACTGAGCTGGCCAGGATGTTCAATTCTCCCTTGTAGGTGTTTACTTCCTATTCTTTACCTGCCACTCCCTGAGCCCCAAAACCACCCGCATTTGCTTCTGAACAAGCTTTTTAAAAACTGAGCACACACCCCACCCCAGTCTCCCACCCCACCCCACCCTACCGGTCTGCTCTTACCAGAGCCCCAGACACCGAGGTTAAGTTACCTTTAAAAGGAGCTAGTCTGCATCTGTGCTTTCTGGTTTAAGGATCGTGTTTCAGCAGCGGGGCTGAACCCTGGACAGCAGGTATAGCTAACAGCCGTCTGCGGAGGAAACGGCAGTGCCTCACTCCTCCCTGGCTAAACGCACCCGCTCACCCATCCCTGCAGAACAAATCATGTTCTTTTCCTTGCGCTAAAATCCATCTATAAACAAATCCTCGCCGCGTCCCTAAGAAACGGCTCCCACGTCCGCGGAGGGCGCCCTCCACGCACACAAATACACACTCACAAAACCCAACCCAGAGGTACCAGGTGAAAACCTGGTTTAGATCTGTCCTTTAAGAACAAACCAACAACAACATCATTCACCACACACACACACACACACACACACACACACACACAAAATCCATCTAATTGGAAAGAACTGAAACTAAAAGGGGTGACTAGGACGCTTATGGAGAGAGAGTTATCAACGTCAGTAGCCTAAGTTGCAAAACTATGTATGGCGCTAACAGTTCAAACAGGATTTAAAAACAGCCCTTGGGGATGCCCCCTTCAAAGAGGCGCGCAACCCCGCGCAGCAAGCGCTTGCTTTTCTGCGCCAGCTTTCCAAGACTCTCCCTTGTCTTTTGTGCCATTTACTATAAACAACATTCAGAGGTAGCAGCATGTACATTTCAGCCCAGGCATGCGAGCCTGGGAGCCCCCAGGGTCGCACCGGCTCCGCGCCCCCGGCCGGGTCTGCACGCACAGGAGCGAGCAATGCCGTCCCCTACCTGGGTGGGAAATCCGCACGCGGCCGCCTCCGGGTGCGGGCGGAGCGGTGTACGTCCCGGTGGCCCGGCCGGCTGCTCGGGAGAACGCGGCGCTGGGGCGATCCCGGCGGAGGCAGGAGTCCGCGGGTGTCACACCTGCATCACGGCGCCCGCGCCGCCGCAGCGCGCAGCGCGCCCCCGCCACACCGAGCACCCAGGGCGGGAGGCTCCTGGGTCCTCTACTCAGCGGGATCAGATCCTAACCGGCTTTCTTCCCGGCCTGGGCATTAAAGGCATTGGCGGCGGCCACCTCTTCTCGCTTCTAAATCCCCTTTTGATTTAAGATGGACTGTTTGGGATAGCTTGATGGGCAGGGAACCCAGCTAGGGACCCAGGCTTTCTGGATTTGCAGAGCAATACACGCTAAACTTCTTATTCCTCGAGTTTCGAGTTTCATCACCTACTGATGACTGGCATCTCTTTCGCGCTCTACACCGCGCCCCGCACCAGGGGGCGCTATGCACGCCACACTCCCTTCCACCAGCCCCAAACTAAGACACTTTGGAGGGCACGACTTGAATTCCCGGGAAGGTGAATCCTCGGATAGTGCGTGCCTGCTCGGTCGTGTGGACTCTTTGCGGCTCCATGGGCTACAGCTTGCCAGGTTCCGCTGTGCATGGAATTTTCCAGGCAAGAATGCTGGAACGGGTTGCCATTTCCTAGTGCAGGGTGTCTTCCCGGACCAGGGTCCGAACCTCTGTCTCCTGCATTGGCAGGGGGATTCTTTACCACTGGACCACCAGGGAAGCCCATCAATGCTTATATCTGGTATCTAAACTTCTTGCCTGACGACTCTGGTTAGGACCTCTCAGACAACATTGAATTAAAGTGGCACTGAGGCTCTATGTTTAAAATGAATAACCAACAAGGGCCTACTGTGTAGCACGGGGAACTCTGCTCAGTGTTATGTGGCAGCCTCCGTAGGAAGCGGGCTTAGGGGAGAATGGATCCATGCATATGATGGCCGAGTCCCTTGGCTGTCCACCTGAAACTATCACAACACTGTTAACTGGCTGTACTCCAATATAAAATTAACGGTTTTCAAAAAATAAAGTGGTGGTACTGGATATCTGGTTTTATTCATATTCAGGGGGAAAGTCTTCATACTATTACATATTTTAATTATAAAAGTGATAATGAAGAGCCTTATCTTAGTCTTAATTTCACAAAAAAGTATTTTTTACCCTTAAGTATGATGTTGCTGCTAAGTCACTTCAGCTGTGTCCGACTCTGTGTGATCCCATAGACGGCAGCCCACCAGGCTCCCCCATCCCTGGGATTCTCCAGGCAAGAACACTGGAGTGGGTTGCCTTTTCCTTCTCCAATGCATGAAAGTGAAAAGTGAAAGTGAAGTTGCTCAGTCGTGTCCGACTCTTAGTGACCCCATGGACTGCAGCCCACCAGGCTCCTCCGTCCATGGGATTTTCCAGGCAAGAGTACTGGAGTGGGCTGCCGTTGTCTTCTCCTAAGTATGATGTTAGCCATTGTTAAAAACTTTATCAGATGAAAGAACTTTTCATATAAATATGTAGAATTTTGTCAAAAGTTTTTTGCCTCCATTGAGATAACTGTAGTTTTACTCCTTTATTCAACTCATATGGGTAATTCCACTCATTGACTTTTGAATGTTAAACCACTTTTATATTCCTCAAATAAACTCCATGATATCATATTTTATATGTAATTGGATTTGATTTGATATCTTAAATTTTTATGTTAAAAATATTCTACGTTCATGAGGGATGTTAAATTAGAATTCTGCTTTTATAATGTCCCTGTCAAGTTTTTATAGGAAGGTTGTGCTGGCCTCATAAACAAGCTGAAAAGTTTTTCTCATTTCTTTTATCTGGAACAGTTTGTGTAGATTGTGTATTCTTTCTTAAACATTGGGGGAAAGTCATCAGTGAAACTATTAGAGCTTAAAGTTTTTATTGTGAGAAGGTTTTTCATTAAGTTCAATTATTTTATTAGCCATGTGACTACTCAGATTTTCTATTTCTTCTTCTTTCAGCTTTGTTAAACTATTACTTTTCAAGGATCTTATCCATTTCATTTAAGTTTTCAAAATTATTAGCTGCAGTGATGTCTCATTTTTCATTCCTGATTTTGGTGACTGGATGGTTTTCCTTTCTTTTGTGTTACTCCTTGCCTGTCTTCGAATAGAAACTTAGATTATTGAGTTTTAATAGCTTATAAACTTCCCTCTAAACACTGATTTGTTTACACCACTGAACTGAACCAATTTTAATATGTTCCATATACGTTTTTGTTCAGTTTAAACTATTATCTAATGTAGACTGTGATTTCCTTGATCCATAGGATTATTTGAAGTGTAATTTTCAAACTTTTAGGAATTTGTTTTCTGTCCCATTTTTCATTGTCTGTTTATCATTTTCCTACCTTCTTCTTCATTAATCAATGTCTTTAATTAAATTATTATATACACTCTATTCACTTTAGTTTTCCCTTTTAGTATTTTTATCTTAGTTAGATGCTCTATTTCTATCGTGCAACTCTAATTGCAGTCACCTCATCATTTCCCCAGAGACGGCAATGGCACCCCACTCCAGTACTTTGCCTGGAAAATCCCACAGATGGTGGGCTTCAGTCCATGGGGCTGCACAGAGTTGGACACAACTGAAGCGAATTAGCAGCAACAGCAGCATCACTTCCTGGTGGCTCAGATGGTAAAGAATCTGCCAGCAATGCGGGAGGCCTAGGTTCAGTTCCTGGGTTGGGAAGATCCCCTGGAGGAGGGCCTGGCAACCCACTCCAGTGTTCTTACCTGGAGAATCCTTATGGACAGAGGAGCCTGCTGGGCTACAGACCATGGGGTCGCAAAGGGTCAGACACAACTGAGTGACTAAGCACAACAAGGCACATCACTTATCACTGCCCAAAAAATGCAAAAATCTAAGTTCAATTCCATTTATTTATTTTTTTTAACTTTGTGCTAAAATATATATTTTAATATAAAATTTTTAAAATATTTTTTAATTTACAACGACATAACTTCAAGTGTAAAGATTAGTAAACAGACTTAAATTTTTTTTGTTTTTCAGTTAGACCAGCTGCTATGTCCAAGCAATTTTTCTGAGCTATTCATTTCCCAGGCAGAAACAGAAACAGATCCAATGGTCTCTCTCTCTTAATATATATTTCAAATAACCACTCTCAGATTACATGAGTGAATTTCATTATATCACCTGACCCTTATATGTCAGTCTGATGCATTGTAATACCTGCTGTAGAGAATTCCCTGATGGTCCAGTGGTTAGGACTGCATGCTTTCTTTGCCAAAGGCACAGATTCACTGCTAAGGGTGCAGATCGGTGAACTAAGATCCCACAAGCTGTAGCGTGGCAAAAAAAAAAAAAAAATTGCTATAAAATGGGGTTGACAGGTCTTAGCATACACCATCCCTATCATGGGGAGACAGATGACAGATGTAACTGAAGAAATTTCTTATATAAATATGTATATGTTTCCCTGATGGTTCAGTGAGTAAAGAATTCACCTGCCACCTACAGTGCAGGAGATGCAGATTCAATCTCTGGCTCAGGAAGAGCCCCTGGAGGAGGGCATGGCAGCCCACTCCAGTATTCTTGCCTGGAGAATCCCATGGACTGAGGAGCCTGGTGGGCTACAGTCCATGGGGTCACACAGAGTCAGACACGACTGAAGCAACTTAGCATGTACGCACATATATATATATATTTATATATACACCAAACCCCACAACTCACCTATATATTATCATATATTTACCCACTTCTTCATTCCTTCCTGTGTATTTATTGGAGGTTCCTTTACTTCAGTCTGAATAGGTCTTTTTAGTAATTTTTGTAGGGAAGAGACTAATTCTAGACTGCTAGAGACTAATTACGTCAGATTTTTTTCAAGTAAAAATGTCTTTACTTGACCTTTATTTTTGAAGGTCCCTTTTCACTATATATAGCATTTGTAGATGGAAGTTTTTTTTTCTTTCATCATTTTTAAGATGTCATTCTATTGCCTTCTTGATGTCTGTTGTATGTTCAGTCTAAAACTCAATTAGTCTTGTTTTCACTTCTCTGAAAGTAATATTTTTAAATTTTGCTTCTTTTAATATTTTCTTTCGTAAGTTTAATTTTTCTGTTCCTATGTATGATTTCTTTGGTCACCTGATGCAAACAACCGACTCATTGGAAAAGACCCTGATGCTGGGAAAGATTGAAGGCAGGAGGAGAAGGGGATGACAGAGGAAAAGATAGTTGGATGGCATCACCGACTTGATGGACATGAGTTTGAGCAAGTTCCGGGAGTTGGTGAAGGACAGGGAAACCTGGCAAGCTGCAGTCCATGGCTCGCAAAGAGACGGACATAACTGAGCCACTGAACAACAACATGATTTTCTTTATTTTTTTCTGATACTGAGCATCTTGAATTTGTGGGTTAATGTTGTTTACTAGTTTTAGAAAATTCTCAGACTATCTTTTCTCTCTTCTACACTCTTTGATTGAGAGAGCACATACATTACACATAATTAAATGGTTTTGCTATTATCCCTCATGTCTTATGCTCCATTCTTTCTATTAGCTTTTCACCTTCTTTGTACTTTAGCTTGAGAGTTTTCCATTGACCATTATTTAGGTTCACTAAATTTGCTTTCTGCTATGACCAGTTTGCTATTAAACCCATCCAATGAGTTTTTAAGCCTAGATATTATATTTTTTCCAATGGCTACTTGATTAATTGACATAGACTTTGCTGAAGTTTTATTCTTAACCGTTTGATCCATCTTTCTATGTTCTTTAATGCATTTATAATAAAATCTACTAACTTCAATATAGGAATAAATTAGACTAGTTTATCTTTTCTGTTGACTATTAGTAAAATTTTTCTTGTCTCTTTGCATGTATCCCTTTTTTAAAATTTGTATTTCAGATATTGTGTGTAAAGGAACTATTGAAAACTGAAATTATTGTTGCTTCTTAGAGATCATTTACCTTGCCCTCTGTTATACAGATAAGATGAGGGGTTACTCACCTCAATCCATTCAAAAATAAGCTTCCAAGGAACTGGATATTAGCTCTACTTAGGCTAATTTCACCTCTGTTTTCATATGTCTTAAAGGTGACAGCGGTCATGTGTTTATTGCAGGACATTGCCTCAGGAAGGGTTTTATTCATCAGCACTATGAGACTGCAAAATATCTCACTCT